TGCCTTGGACCCGGTGTCCTCGTGCCGTGGGGCTGCCCTAGCGCGCTCCCTGCATCCTCTGCCCTTCTGCTGATGCATCTCACCTGGTGTCTGGTCTCTCCGAGCCCAGGGATGGGGACAGCAGAAGGCAGCACAGGCTCCCCCCCGCCTCTGCCCTGCCACCAGGTCGACAGGATCATCTGCAGAGCCCCCCTGCAGTCCAGTCTCACCTCCCACGCCTGAGAAGCTCAGCAGGACGTACATGGAGGGGGCAGCCCCAGAGGTTACCGACTCCTCACCCCGTCCCCGAGCCACCAGCTCCTCCTGGATCTCCGCTAAGCCGGGTGCATCGTGGCCCTGAGAGACAGGCCTAGTGTTGCTCTCGCCCGTGGGGTGAGACCAGGAGGGAGGGGCGAAGCCGAGCCCCTGTCCCTGCCCTGCGGCACTGCTGCTGCGTCGCTGCCCGGCTCCTCGTGCCCATCCGCGGCAGCTGGCTCTGCTGCCTCTCACCCCCTGGTGCATGCCCAGGAGCTCTCTGCGGCTCCCAGTAATTTTCCAGCCCCACGTTCCTTGTCCTTGCCGTGGCCGCGAGTTTCCCCCACGTCTCCGTGCCCCCGCCGCTGCTCTGAAACCCGCCCCGGGTCCCAGTCCGGATCGATACCAATTTCTGCCACTTGTCTACCTTTCAGCAAGGCCCTGCTTTGTTCTGCATAGAAATAAAACTGTAACTGTACCTTGCCAGGAGAGCCACGCTTTCCCCCTCCCCTTCCCCTCTTCTTCTTCAGGAGCAATTTTATGCAATTTGCAACTGTCTGGCTGCAAATGAAAAGAGACACAAAGCGTTTCTGCGAAATATTGAAAAGCTGGCTCCTTTTCCTTCAAATTTCACTTAGTGAGAGGCTTTAACTTGGGCGTGTGATCACTGCATGTCATTAATAACCTCTCCGGTTCCTTTCAGAAGCCCGGGCACAGTCACAAAATAAAAGGCATGGGTTATTGAGATATAATATCACCTCAACCAGCCAGGGATAAGCGCTCCGGGGAGCAGGGAGGGGGGGACGTGCATTGCTCCTACATGCGGGCCGGCACCGGAGGAGTTCGGTAGCTTCGGGGCTGGATTCTCTGCTGCTCGGATCCAAAGCTCCCGTCTCCTTCCAGTGCTAGAGAGATGCTGCTAGACCACCGCTACCCAGGCCAGCAAGCTGCTCGTGGGAAGGGAATGGAGCTGCTGCCCATTTCGATCCTTGGATGATCTTGGATTTTGCAGGAAAGATTCCCTCTTGGCTCTGCGGTTTCCCCGTTGGGGATGAGGAGCGGGAAGTCGGCAGCCAACCCTTGCAGGGCACAGCTGCGCTGACCTGGTGGAGATGGCAGGCGGACAGAGGGTGAACCTTACCCACTCTGCCAAGGAGGGAGTAGGCGTACGTCCGCAGCTGCTGTGTCCAAGGGCTCTGGGGCCAGGATCAGCCGTGGCGATCTCCATCCCTCTCCATGCACTCCAGACCCCGAATGCAATCAGGGGCCTCTTCGCCCGTCTCTTAACAGATGTCTCCATCGGAGCTAACCGCCCCGCCACTGCTTCCTCCAGCACCTTGCCCTGCTTTTCATCGCCCCATCTAGGCCTGGGCTGCCTTAAGCATAAATGCAGATCCTTCAGGAACCCCGTGCCCAGAAAGATGAACTTTTGTCCACCTGCCAGTCCACAGCTCTCCGAATGGTGCTCTTGTCCGGCGGATGGTGTCGGGCTGAGGGGCAACGAGCCCACCCTGGCTAAGCTGGAAGGTGCTGGTTTGAGATTTCAAGAGCCCCGGAGGGACAGAGAAAACCTGGGTCAGCAAATGTGGTCCTAACAAGACACCTTTGCCCTCCAGGGACTGAGACGTCATCGTGGTTGGGTCGTTCAAGGCAGGAGGGTCTGTAAGACGCTACCCCGTCGAGCCAAGGACAAGCCAGGAAATGGAGCTGAACCTTATCTGCCTTGAAAGGGTTGCATTTCTCTCGTGCAGTCAGACCGGCTGCCAGGGCGTTATACCGGAGAGGCAGTGCGCTGGAGCCCCCGGGTCACGCTGCCGATTCCCTTTGGCATCCAACCTTTGTCGAGCCCCCAGCCCATGGTCGTGAACCCCCAATATCGCTCTCTGTGCTGACACAGCCAACGTAGGGAAGCAATAAATGGCACCCGCGGTGGCTGCTTTTGAGATGTGGGCAGTGGTCCCCTGCAAAATGCAGCAAAGCCAACACACTCACAGGACCAAGTCCTCCCAAAGACGCCCACGCTGACAACCACGGTGACACACTCCCCAGCCGTGTGCTGCTGCCCAGTCTGGTGCATGCACACGCGGGTGCTGCAGCCCCCCCACTGAAGCATGCACATGCCAATAAATGCCCATCGGATGATAAAAATCCAGCCACAATCCGGCCTGTAACCAGAAACCTCTGGAGGGGAAAAGCTCCCTTGTTCCTTCTCAGTCACTTATATGATCCCAGCCTCTCTCTTTCAACACTGCAGCAGGTGGCCCTGGGCACAGGTTCAAGTCCAAGGTACCCTACATGGACACCATGAGCCATGCTAGCTTGCGATGCAGAGAGGACCTTGTCCTCTTTACTGCAGCCACCACTTGCAACGCCAGTCATGAGCAACGGGCAGCAAAAGGGGCAGCGTCTTGGGCCCATGGCAGAAGGACAAAAGCCCTGAGCCCCAGGGGACGGTTGTCACCGTGTCCGTGTCTCACGTCCGCCGTGCGAAGCTTCTGGATGAGCTGTTGGTTCAGGGCGTGATGTTTTAATGCCCTGCTGTTGGAAGCACCAGGCCTGGAGCCTCCGTTCATCTGAACGATTGCTCTACCCCACCAAGCCACGGTGCAACCTCCCCGCTGGGCCAAGATGTCTGGATTAGGAGGCGGAGAAGCCAATGTGTTCTCCGTGGACCATCCTAATCCCTGGTTTCTGCGCTGACAACCTGCGAGTGGTGCATGTCGAGAGGCACCTAACACCTCCGGCCCCAAGCGGCAAAGGCTTCTGCCTGCTGACATGGCTGAGTTGCTTCACAACAGAGACAGGGGGTAACATTTCCCCAAGGTGCCTAAGTCCTGCTGGCTTCCCGGAGCAGACGTCCCCCAGCTGCCTCATGCCTCTGGAAGCCTGTACGTCCTTCTCCGGCGCAGCCGGGCCTATCCCCAAAGACAATTAAGTCAAATGAGATTCAAGCAGCTCTTTCTCTGCACTCTCCTCCATGCCCTAAAATAACCTGGACCAGCCACCGCCAAGTCGGGCGAACGCAGCTTCCCAAAGAGCCTCCATTAGGCTGTAATTAAATCACGTGCGCCTTTCTGCCCTGAAAAGCAAACACCAGCCCACGCAGAAAATGAGCAGCACAAAGCAGGGGGCTGGGCGGCGGTTAGGGAAGGTTTTGGGGCCGGAAGGGGTCAAAGGGGGCAGGTGGTTAAGGATGGTGTTAATAATTACTCTAGCTCTCTGTGAGCTCCTAAGTCCCCGAGTCCTGCCCCCGGCTTGCTCAGACCCCGGGTGCAGAGAGGATGCAAGCCCAGCCTTGCTTCTCCTGCCACCAGGCAAAGGGCTGGCACAGGGAACAACCTCCTTGATGGGGCCAGTCTGGACCACTGCCCTGCAGGGCCAAGCCCCGGTCGGGAACGGCGCTCGCAGTCATTTGGGGGCTGCGAGGAGACGTGCAAGGCGCAGGCGCTGCTGTGCAAACAAGTCCTGGGCCTTCGGGGAGAGGTCTCAGCCTCTTGCATTGGGATGATAGGGAAGTCGGGCGGGAAGGAACCTCGCAAGATCCCATCTCATCCAGCCCCCTGCTCCAGGCAGGGTCATCCCCGACTAAACCTAGCCCAGACAAGCGTCCATCTAAATTCACAGGGCTACTTTTTCCAATGCTTGACCACCCTCATGGTCAGGAAATTCCTCCTCTCCAACCTCAATTTTCCCCACTGAAGCTTAAGGCCCATCGCTCCTCATCCTGTCCCCTGCAGCCCTGGACAAAAGCCCATCTCCATCCTCTGTAATCACCCTTCAGGCATCTCAAATGCCCCCTCGGTCTTCTCTTCTCTAGCCCAAATCACCCTACTTCTTCCAACGTGTCCTCATAAGCCTCGTTTCCCCACGGCTCTACTTGTGTTCCTCTGCACTTGGACTCTCCAATCTGTCCACATCCTTCGTGAAGTCCCCAAAACTAGACACGGGACTCCAGGTGAGGCCTCACCAGGGCTGAATAGAGGGGAATCATCCCTTCCCTTGACCTGCAAGCGACTCTCCCGCGAATACAACCCAGGCAGCTTGTTGGCCTTTGGCAACAAGAGCACGCTCTTGGCTCATATTCAGCTTACGGTCTACTGTAACCTCCCGGGCCTGCTCCGCAGTGCTGCAGTCAGCCACGCACCCCCACTCCATATCTATGCGTGCGGTTATTTCGTCCCAAGTGCAGGACGTTGCACTTGTCCTGGCTGAACTTCATCTGATCGATTGAGGAACATTTCTCCAGTATACCTGGGTCGGTCTGGATCCTAACCCTGCCTTTCTGGAGTGCCTGCAGCTCCACCCAGCGTGGTGCAGCCACAAATTTGCCAAGCATGCACTGCACCCCGTCCAATCATCCAAATCATTAATGTAAATATATTAAATGATACGGGACCCTGGGGAACCCCACTTGATACCCCTCCCAGCTCTAGCCATTGCCCCATTGATGACTATTTATTGAGCGCGATGTGTCGCTACCGCCCTAGAGACAGTACCAGCCTCTTGGGCTACATCTCCTACCTGTCAGCTTGCCGGGAGCAAGGCGATGGGGGCAAACAGCACCGGAGCCTATTTTACAGACAGAGGAACTGAAGCCCAGAGCAGCAAAGTGATGTGTTCGAGGACACACAGCCACGCCAGCAAGCCCAGGAACTGACCCCACAGGTTTGGCCCCCGTTCCCTGCTCCAACCGGCCTCTTGGGTGCGTGGTCCCGGCCCAACCCGACAAACCCACAGAGCATCATTCGTTCCCCGTCGGGCCTTACCCCTGGCAAAGTCTTCTGTTCGTGGAGCGCAGTCTGGGCTTTGATGGCAGAGTCTCTGGCACAGTACGTGAGAAACGCGCAGCCTGCGGGGGAGACAGCAAACGCCAAATTAGATGCGCAAGGGCCAGCTCGCCTCCTCCCCATGCAGCCGCAACGGCAGCGTGCATCTCTGGTCCCTGGGCTACGGGACTTCCCCATCCTCCACCCAGCCCGCGGCCCGCTGCTCCGAGCCCCCGGACCGAGCGCAGAGAGGAGCAGGGCAGAGGCAGTGCTGCTGTCAGGCCTAGGTTTTTATTTAACATCTTTATTCATTACCTGCAATGAAGTGGGGGGTGAGGGCTTGTTAATGAGAAGCACAGATGTTGCTAAATTGGGCTGTGCTGTGAACTCCAGGGAAGAAGCACTCCGGAGGAGCAACACGGCAGGACCAAGGGGCCCAATCCAAAGCCCACCGGAGCCAAGGCAAAATGCAAACGAATGCATCCGATGGTCAAACTGGCCTGAAAGTCAGGGAAGGAGGCTTGGAAATCAGCAGCAGGGCCAGGGGTTTAGATGCAAGTGGGCCACGGCCAGACTTTAGGTTAAGAAGCATCATGTCCCGGGGGAAAAGGAAGCCAGGACCCCTGGCCAGAACAGCCTCGGTTCCCTGCTCCCTGCCTCCGTCCCGCTACCCCGACACACGCGCTTGGGTGGAAACACTGAGCAACCCGAACATGAACGCTCCTGAGGCTGTATCGAGCGGTCAAAATACGGGGCAGATCTTGACGGTCTCAATTAAGACTGGACCGATGTCTCTGCCCAAAATCCTGGGAAGAGGTGGGGGTCGCCTCTATGGATTTAAAAGGCATCAGGGCAAAGCGGGGGGGAATTATTTAGCCTACAGAAGAGGAGACTGAGGGGAGATTGAATAGCAGCCTTCACCTCCTTGCAGGGGGGCTGCAAAGAGGATGGAGCTGGGCTGGTCTCAGCGCGGCAGACAGGGCAAGGAGCAATGGGCTCAAGTTGCAGCAAGGGAAGGTTAGGTTGGATATTAGGAAAAAAATTATCCCTAGGAAAACACTAGAACAGGTTACCCAAAGAGGCAGTGCAATTTCCATCCTTGGAGGTTTTGAAGACCGGGGTAGACAAAGCCTTGGCTGGGGTGATGTAGTTGGGGCTGGTCCTGCTTGGAGCAGGCGGGTGGGCTAGATGGGACCCCCTGAGGTCCCTTCAACCCTCCTTGTCTGTGACCCTATGAATTGTTTCAGGGATGGAGCAACGGGATTCAGGGATGGAGCAACGGGACAACACCGAGGAACTGGCTGGTTGTGGAGTCGTCCCGCAGGGAAGGGCAGGGAGCCCAGGACCGCCAGCCCCATGTCACGAGTCCGGGAAGAGACTCCAGATGCGCGTTCCCTCCACCCTTTCCGTCCCTCCGGCGGCTCACTGTGGGCCAAATTGTGTCACAAAGCGAAGGCAGAGCTGGCCCTCCCGGACACATCTCTGTGCCAGAGCAATCTGGATGCGCTCGGCCCGGAGAAGGGACCCAATCCCACCAAGCTCACGTGCCTCGCCACCCTTCGCTCTGCTCTCTTGCATTCGGGTGCAAACAATTCCAGCTCGGGCGAGCAAGGGCGGCAGGACTCGGCTCATTCAGCCTCGTATCACGACCCCCCGTTTCTATCCCAACCCGAAGCGAAGAGCGCAGGACATTTCCCACTGGAGAGCTCCCTTATCCCCTGCGTGGTCCCAAGACAAAGCCTCCTTCAATACGCTGCCTCCGCCAAGTAAATATACCTGACCCTGCAGCTCTTGCTAGAAAAAAAATAGCGTGTGAATATTAAACTTCTCCGACAGGCAATTAAGAGCCTTCATTGCCCAGACAGAGAATGGGAGATGAGATGCACCACGTCGAGACTCTGGCTTCCCAGCTAATAGACCTAAATGTCACGGGACCAGCAGAAAGACGGACGTACTCGTCTCTTGGGATCCTGGACAACCCAGCCACAGCTCTGAGCGCAGGTTCAATTTTCAACAGTGCCGAAGTGATTTAGGAACCCGAGTCCCATTATTAACATGGAGGTAGGTGCTTGGGAGCACAAGCCTTGTGTACAATGAGGCAGGGGGATGGCACTGAGCACACCCCACCCATGTGAATCTGCAATGCCCAAACTCCCAAGGGGCTCAGGGACAGGGCGAGCACCCAGGGGCCCGCTGGCTTCAGATCCAGGCGCTGCTCTTCCCCTTGGCACGTGCAACCAGTGTGCGGTTATTTCTCCAGCATTTCACTGGTCAGCACTGGCGAGAGGGGCCCAGAAAATTCAAGCCCTTGTTAATCCACAGGAGACACGCGGGCAGCGCAGCGGACAGAGAAACCTTCCAGCCATTGCCCTACCGCTGTGCCCCCGCGCCAGCTTGGAGGCGCGTAGGGGGACAAGGCAGCAGTTAAGGGTGGGCGCGCGGGGACGGGGAGCTGTGCCAGGTTCAAACTCATCCACACCAGCACCAGGCAGACAGTGGCAGAGCGGGTCCCAGCGGTCGCCTGGCCCGGCGCGGTAGGGATGAGCTGCCACAGGTGCCGAGCGCTGCAAAGAGAAGCTTGCAGAAGCGCACGCCGGCCCGATCGCGAGCATCCACCCCGGCTGGTGGGTTCATAGACTGAGGGGCTGGATGGGATTGTGGAAGATCATCGGGAACAGCCGCCCGCGCTAGGCAGGAAAGACAACGGTCCGGGACAAATGCAAGAGGCAAGTAGTTTTGCGGGTGTTATCCCATCCGTTGTACAGGCCCTGAAGGAGGAGACTTGATACCCAAAAGCCTGGCTCTGTCTCCCAACTGTCCAGCCAAAAAGATCACCTGCAAAGCACTCGGCCTCTTGCTAAAAAAAACACGCTTTCACTACAAAAACCAGCCGGACTCTTGTTTGCATTTCGGATCTCCCAGTTTGGGGCATTTTAGGGGAGCCATCGCAGCCAGGAGATGGGGCTGGGTGGGATATTTTCCAGGCCAGCTCCCTGCTCTCCCCTGTAATCCAAACACACTGGAGTTTTTTTTCTTCTCATCCTGCTGCTCCGGCACAGCATTAAAAAGCTTTTTTTTCTCCCTGCACGCCCCTGCTCGGAGGGTGAAAGACATCTGTTTGTTCCTCCCCTCCCCCAAGCCCGGGCGAGCATCGCAAGAGAGATACAGGCAGATTTGGCAGCTTTTTCATGCGTGCTTGTGCTGCACGAGACGGATCAAGATGGGGAGTCTCCAAAACCATAAGAACGAGCCCCATGTTATCCGAGGTGAGCGTGCGCGAGCAGATCGCCCGCGGGTCAGGGGTTTCTCTTCCACCGCTGTGGCGGGGAGCGGAAAGCACAATCGCTGGACCAGGGCTTCATTGCAGCGATGACTTAGCCTGCTCCCCGCCCCCATCCTATGTACCTCTGTCTCCCTGCCTGCAAGTCACTGCCGTCCACTTTGCAACCACAGGTGGGAGCAGCCTGCTCGGACCGGGCATCCTTCGCCGCGCCCGGCCTCCACCGCTGGGCACGCTCCGAATGGCATCCTGGGTCCAGGCCTGGGGCTATTTTTAATATCGAGCAAAGGAGATTTTAAAAAGCAACTATGCGGCTAAGCAGGCTGCAATCCAATCAGCCCCCGGTAATTCGATGGGGAGGAAATGGCCAAAGAGGAATGGCAAGCGGAGGATTGGAGGCACCGAGGTCAGCGGGAGTTTTGCCAGGAGCTTCAGCGGAAGCAGGATCCAGCCCCGACACCCAGGCGCAGGGTCCTTGTTACCTGCGGGTTCAAATATCCAGTGGCAAATGTAACGCTCGCTGCCACGCATGGGGCATGGGGAGGAAGTCTTCCCTGCAGACAGCCCGGCAAGGAATGGGGAGCGGAGCATCGCCCCGTCCCCAGGATGCTCGGAGGGGCTATTACCCAATTCCTTCCCTGTCCTGGCAGTGGCCGTGCCCTCAGCCCCGTCTTTGCCTATGCCGCGCTGGAAGGTGGTCTCCGTGTCTCGAGTTTTGTGCCTTGTACTTGGACGTGGGGATTTTGGAGCAAACCGTGGCCTGGAAATGCCGGAGCCTGGACCTGGTGGTCCAGCGGGCTTCTCCCGGCCCCATGCCCCGAACCAGATGCTCGCACCCATCCACGTATTGCTGCTCCTCAGACTTGGACCAGATCTTGAGTTCTTCCAGGTGTCAATCCTGCATCGATCCTCACCGAAAATACAGGCAGGGATGGGGTCAGGGGCTCGCAACCTCCTCAATGCCTCCTTCAGCGGCTCTCAACCCCCTTTGGAAAATGCCAGCTCAGAGCTTTGGCTCCTTTCTCGACTACAAAAAAATAACAATACCAAAGCAATTCTCCTCTTGCAAAGGCCTCAGGCAGACTTGACAGAGCAACAACGTTTCGACGGTTCCTATCTAAAATCTCCGAGTTTATCTCGAGAAAGGTGCGCGGGCATTTGCGTACTCAACGGCGCTACTATGGCAAGGCACCCTTAAAAGGATCGCGCGGCGCGTCCTGGCTGAGAATCGCTGGCCTAGTCACAGAGCAACAATCCTCCCTTGTCCTTCGAGAGATTGTACCTGCTGCAAACTAACTCGCGATTTAATGCCCTGCCACCAGCCATAGGATGCCAGATGCATCGCCCCTCTCGCCTATGCCTTTGTTAGACCCATGTCTTCCCCCCCGACGGTGCAACAAAGCCGTGGGAAAGCTCATGCAGGGCAGGGGCAGGGCAGTTCCTCCACCCCGACTCGGGGACCCCACATGTCTGGGGGTGGCAGGTCTCTCAGGCTCCTGCATGCTTTCTCTGGCCTGACCACCTCCGGATCTGAGAAGAGAGCCATCTCCCACTGTCCCCGACCCACGCCGGGGTGGGACGTGCGCGAAGGTGTGAACGGGCGGGAATTGCTCGACGTGGGATCCCAGGAAACGTCCCCCATCGTTGCTAACGCGGGTGGCAGGGCGAAACCACGGCTCCCACCACGTCCCCTCACCTTGCTGAGACCCGGGAGGCAGCGGGGAACGCTGGCGGCTGTGGGATCCTCTGCTTTTCTCCAACCCCACCTGGGTGGCATCGGTGTTGGAAAGACCGGCAATTCCCCCAGCCCAGCTGGGCGAAGGCAGGCCCGAGTGGAGGACGGGGAAGAAGATATCCCCAGGTCTGAATATTTGTCCTCAACAACTCCTCAATGTCTTAAATTCACCTCCAAAATAGACAGCTTGGCCAAGCCCTGCCACTCTTGGCTCCGCGCTGGCCCGTGGGTGGAAGAAGCTGAACACGGCTGCATCCGGACTGCACTTGCCCGGGGCCCACTCACCAGCTGGGATAGCCCCCAAACACCCAGCGGGCTGGAGAGACCCGGGAAGCAGCCAGGCACCCCGGGAAAGCGAGAACCATCCCCGGTCCACTCGCCGGTTCTTGCGGGAGCTGGAAGAAGAGGGCAAAGCCAGGCTGCGAGAGCCTCCTGCAGGATCCCTCAGCCCCGGCTGAGACGAAGAAAGAGGGCAGAGGCCACGTCCAAGCCGTAGCACGAAGGCGCCCATTAGACGTGGCTGTGCGAGGGTCGATTCATCCTGATCCCGTACTTCCCCGGCCGACAGCACCTAGCCGTGCTGGAGCCGCCAGGCACCATGCATACAGCAATTAGTTCATTAAACCTCCCAACGAGATAAGGGGGACTCGGGCAGGCGCTGGGTGTTTTGCAGCCTGCAGCCAGGCCCGGGAGCTCGGGGCAGAAGGGAGGAAGGGCAAGCAACCACAAGAGCGAGGGGGAGAATAGAGGCCTGCTGAAGTTAATGCCCCCCACACTTCTCCAGAGCAGGATCGTGGAGGGTTTCCAGCCATCGGGACCTCCGTCGTAGACAGGCTCATAACACCTTTCCGTGCAGCACCTTCCCTGCCGAAAGGATCCAGCCTTGTTCAGCTCAGCCCCCCAGGACCCCAGCAAGCAGGAGCCTTGCTGCAAATGGGTGCCTTCAGCCCGGCTCCTGGACCGGGGATGATTGCCCCCAACTGCTCCCATTTCTTTCCTCCTGGATTCAAGAGAGGATGGTGGCCTGCGAGATCCCCAGCGTGCCAAGCTGCCACGTTGCTCGGTTATCGGCATGCCCAAGGCCCGAGCAAACAGCACAGGTGGAGAAGGGGCAGGCAAGGCTGGAGGCTGCCCACCGCAAAGACACACACCTATTTGCATGCCCACGCCGACACCATCCCTCCTGCCTGTGCCGTACCTCCCCTGGGGTTCGGCTCGGCGTCACAGCCTCTCCGCCCCGAGACCGCCAGGAAAGCCAGCCGGCAGCAGAAACCCCCTTTTGCCCAGGCCTGGGTCCTTCCAGGCCGAGATCTTTCTTTCCGCTCTCCCCGCTCACGCGCTCCCGGCAGCATGTGCTCAACACACCTCCCCTCTCCTCCCGCGGCAAGCACGGCTTTAAGACAAATATTGCCATTACCATGTAAATGCATCGGTGATTAACATAAATAGAAAAACTGCATCGTGACTAATGCCAGGGGAACCAGGGCAGCGCCGGCTCCCGTACAGGTTGTTGAGGCATTAGCGCCGAGCCACTAATGCGACCGTAGAAGCGATGCACCAGAGAACGGGCACTACCGGGAGGCGGGAAGCTGCCCGCGGCTGCGGCAAGTCCGTCAGGTCTCAGAGCAGGAAGGGAAGGAGGGCATTACAGCTCTGCAGCTTGGAAAATTGGCCCCTTGTTTGGAGGAGGTGGGGGGGATGTTCTCACTTAAGCCACGTAAAGTGCATTCAACGGGCACCTTCTAAGAGCGCACGTCATAATAGAGAAGAGTCATCATCATGAAACCTGTTACTGGGAAAGCAGCCCAAACTTTATCTTGGCATACAGCAGGGCAGGAAGAAGAAACAGAAGCCTTGGAAATAACCGGGTAATAAATGCCGCTGGCAGCCTGGACTTGCAACCCTGCATCCCTGGAAAGACGACTCGAGAGCTAGGCACCACCCAGGCCTCTCCCCAAATGTCAGCGCCAGCTGGGGCGGGTTTCTTGCTGCTGGCACCCGGCGCTCAGCAGCCAGGTCATGTCGCAAGGATCGGGTGAATGCCGGCGCTGCCCCCCATCCCCGATTTCCACATCCACATGGCAGATCCCTGACCTCAGCCTACACCCGCAGCCTATATTTAACGTGTCGATTGTAATGAAATGTGCCGTGGATTCACGCTCCCGCCCCATCCACCTCCTTTCTGCCTTTCCAAGCCTGGCTGCCGGCAGATGGTAACAGGTTTGCTCAGAGACACAGGCGCGCGCCGGCCCCCGAACCGACGACAGGCTGAAAATCGCCGGCGAGAGAGATGCGGTTGCGGGGCCGAATCCGTGGGAGACGATCTCCCCGTTCCTCCGGAGTCCATTCAGGTCCTAAGCGGGGATACACCCCCATCACCTTTCCTGCTGTCACCCGTGGCTCTGTCTGGCTGGTCACCAGCACGTGGCCCCGGGGACTCTACAGCCTTGGGGGCTTAGCTTCTGCTTTCCTTTAAACTCACCAAATCTACCTCCCACCCCGCGAACAGCACCACGGGAGCATGTCACAGAGCACCCCAGGGCGCCCGGGGCCATCCTACTCGCTGGCAGCTTCCATAGTATCTACGGGCAGTCCCTTATCGTCTGGTTTTGGACGTGCCAAGCAAACAGGCCTTCGGCGGCTAGGGCACGTTGGAAGACAGCTCGTTGAATCCCTTCCCAGCCTTTCCAGGGGGGTGAGCGCACCCTTGGGGGCAGGCTTGGGCAGACGTGGCTTCGTTGCGCCCAACGGAGCCGGATTCTCCCCACGCGCCGAGCCAAGAGCGCCTCGGATCTAACGAGCCGCACCCCAAGGGCAGCTAAACGAGCTTCCCCCCAACTTGTTGGCAACCCACGGTGCCTGCAGCCAAGAGCAGCTCAGCAAAGCCCTTTATCCACTGGAAACAATGGACTGGCAGATTATGGTGTTTGTCAGGCAGGTTTGAATGCTGCAGCATTGCCACAGCCTGGGAGCAGGTCTGAGGCCACAGTGCCAGGCCCGCGGGGCCTTCCTCCGCTGAGCCCGCCGAGCCTCCACGGCCTCAGCCCGGGCCACCTGCATCCCCCCGCGGCCCACCGTGTCCCACGTGCCAGCCCCGAGGCCCGGGGAGCTGAATGCAGAGGGGGTGACATGGCTTTTCCCACTCCCCTGCATCACAGAAAGGACTGGCAGGCTGGGATTTGGGTGGATCGCTACAGCAAGGAGCAGGGGAGCCCTGGGCTCCTTCCCACCCCCCTCCAGAGGCGGCCCCCTGCCTTCAATCCATGCCCCCCACATCCACTCCCACCCGCACGGGGAGCAGGACCCGGCGAGAACCCAGCTCCCCCATCTGCCTGCTTGGCAAAAGCCGACAGCGTCCGAGCATCCCACCCGCCCTCCCCTCGCCTCGCCTCGCCTCGCCGGGACCCCCGCGGCGCGGCCCAGCTCGTGCCACCGCCCGGAGCGTCCCCGCGAGCAGCTTCCCGGCTGCGTGGGAAACGGAGTCGAAGCAGGCTCTGGCTCCCCGGCCCCATGCCCGCCCGCGCCACCTCCACGCACAGACATTTCACAGCGATGCCACGCCGCTAATTGCCGCCGGCCGCACAGGTTAATTAGTGCCTACGCGAGGAGCCTCAGGGCCCCCCCGCCGGCTTCCAGCAGGACCGAATGCGACCGCCTCCCATGGCAACGGTGCCCGATGGCTCGGGCTGCGTGCATGCGTGTGCAAGGGGCTGCCCCCCTTCTCCGAGCATCGCGGGGCAGGGGGGTGCAAGGCACCCGGGGGGCGGGAGGAGGACCCCCAAGGTGGGGCAAGGGGGTCCCCCCCCACCGCTCTGCCCTGTCTTGGGAGGTCTCACGCGTGGCACCCCGGGGCCAGGGAGCGGGCACCCCACGGGCCCCTGGCGAGCCCCCCGGGGCGATGCTGCGGGGCAGGGGCGGCGCTCACCCTTGTGCATGCCGGTGTAGCGGTCCTTGAGCACGGTGAGCTCGTAGATCTTGCCGAACTGCTCGAAGAGCGGCTTGAGGTCGCGCTCCTCCAGGTTGCGGGGGATCTGCCCCACGAAGAGCTTGATGGCATCCACGTCCTTCCTGC